TTTTTTTTTAATTTTATTTATTTATTTATTCATTGTGTGTGTATGTGTGTGTGTGGCCAGCTCAGCCCACCAGGGGGCGGGGCTAGCTGGCATGTGGTGCTGGGGGATTGAACCGTGGTCCCTGTGCTTTGCTAAGCTTGTTCTAAGTAGGTGCTTTAGACCACTGAGCCATCTCACCAGCCCCTCTTACTAACCTTTTTGAAACAACAAAATTTTTCATTTAAAAACTTTTATTAACCATAACTTACATGAAAAATGCTACTTACAGCAGGACACAGTAATGCACATCTGTACTCCAGCACTCTGGGAGGCTGAAACAGAGGATCACAAGTTCAAGTCCAGCCTATATAACTTAAAGACTTGACAAGACTTTGTCTCAAAATTTAAAACAGCCTGGGAAAGTAATTCAGTACTAAGGCCCTGGGTTCAATCCCTAGTACCCAACAAAGTTACTTATGTTAATGAGCCTACTATTTCCTAACAAATTAGTATTTCAGATTTTAAAATGGTAAACATTGAATATATACACCACACATTTTTAAAAATAAAGCTGACAAAGAGCTTTTTGACGTGCAGAAGTGGCTTGGGCTGAAAAGGTCTGAGAACTACTGGTCTAGAACAGCTGTGAAATCCATGAGGGCTCCGAAGGACAAGGTCTTTTGTATTTTGGAGCCCAAGAGAAATTAGCACTGTCCATATTTGTTACCAGATCTGCCAGAAGAGAGGGTGAGAAGTTCAAGTCAATAAAAGCAGCCCTTTTCTCTGCATTTCCTGGCAGACCAAGGCACCGGATCCATACAAAAATTCAGGGAGAGACCGTGATGAGACAGTTCCAAGGTCATAGAAAAAAATGTGGTGGGAAACAAAATCAATCCAGATTATGAGCATCACACGGATCCTGAAGTTAAGGCTCTAGCCACACAGTTTTTCCACAAGTGACAACTCTATTCATAAACTCATTTTTTTGTTTAATTCTCTGTCCCCTTCTCCATCCTTTTTCTTTCCACTACCCACCCTTTTAATTGGTTTAATTTAGTTGGTGTCCTTTAGGCTCAGTGTTCTCACTTTGCCTGGTACACAGTAAGCACCCAACAATGGTGGGTATACAGGTACTGCCACACTCTTGCAGAGTAATGTCTTCCATCCCTTAACTCTCAACTCTCCATCATCACTTAGATCTCTATAGTGAGTTCCAGACCTACAGAATGACCTCTTGGGCCTTCCTGCAGCAACCTAAACTCAGCAGCTCTAAATGTAACTCTTTCATTATCCCCGTTAAAGCTGTGCTCCTAGCTGAGTGTGGTGTTACATGCCTGTAATCCCAGCTACTCAAAAGGCTGAGGCAGGAGAATCACAAGGTAGAGGCCAGTCTTGGCAATTTAGTGAGATCCTGTCTCAAAACTTAAAAAATTAAATATAAAAAGGGCTGGCTGGAAACGTAGGTCAACAGTACAGTGGCCCTGGACTTGATCCCCAATACAGAGATAGACAGACAGACAGAGATAGATAGACAGAGACAGAGAGACAGACACAGAGGCAGAAGAGGAAAGGAAACTGCAGCAAAGAAAGCTGCCTTTCCTAATAGTTCCTCCTGCATCACCAACACACCTAACTGCTAAGGTTAGAAACCTACATCATTCCACACCAGCCCTTGTTCTAATCTCCATGCATCTACTCTGTCACCAAGTTTTGTCAATTCCACCAGACCTTTCTTCCTTGTTTTGCTTTTGCACTATTGAGGGTTGAACCCAGGACCTTCACACTCAGATAACATCCCTGGCCCTTAAAAAAAAATTATTTTTGAGATAGGGTCTTACTATGTAGTCCATGCTGGCCTTGGACTTATGGCAATCCTCCTGCCTCAGCCTCCTGAGTGCTAGAATTACAAGGGCACACCAACATGCTGTTAATTTTTGTTGTTTTGAGACAATCTCACTAAATCACTAAATTGCCCAGGCTGGCCTTCAATTTACAATCCTTCCACCTCAGCCTTCCAGAGTGTTGGAATTACAAGCATGTGTGAGCATGCCCACCTTAACATCTTTTGAAGCCCTATCTAGTCCACTGCAGCATAAAGAATGCATAAAACAATTGTTTCTAACTTAGATCACTATAACAGAGCTGGGGAGATAGCTCAGTGACTTAAGTGCCTGCCTGGCAAGCACAAGGTTCTGAGTTCAATCCCTAGTACAAAAAAAAAAAAAAAACACCACTATGATAGTTTTTTTACTGGCTCCTTGACTCCAATCTAAAACCCTTCCAAGTCAATCCTCACTCTGGTATTATAGTAATCTCAGACACAAACCCTACAAATTATCTTCACTCTTCCTAACACACTCTTTAAATGACTTTACTGGGGCTGGTGAGATGGCTCAGTGGTCTAAAGCACCTACTTAGAACAAGCTTAACAAAGCAGAGGGACCACGGTTCAATCCCCCAGCACCACATGCCAGCCAGCCCTGCCCCCTGGTGGGCTGAGCTGGCCACACATACATACACACACACAAATAAATAAATAAATTAATTTAAAAAAAAATTTAAAAAAAAAAATAAAAATAAATGACTTTACTCATTATCCTGAAAAAAAGTTTCTAAACCATGTATTCTTTACACCATACTAAAGAGATCATCTAAAAAACTACTCCTAATGCTGAGCACCAAATGATGGGCCTTGTGCATACTAAGTTATAACCCCGGACCTGAAATTTAGTTTTTCATCAAAAGTTTAAGGGAGTTTTTTTTATTGTTGTTAAAAGGAGATAGAAAACATTAAACATTTTATAAAAAGAAATGAATCAAGAATTGTAATTACAATAAACATTTCATCACTTGATTAAAAAGATTTTTATTGTCTTACTGAATAATATATCAAACCTAAACTAAATCTCTTACAAGCTTGTTATGCAAGTTTTATCTAATATAGCTTTAAAAACCTATGGTCCCATAGAACAGCCTAGTTACATTAAACTGCTGTATTTCTTTTAAACTCAAAATCAGAAATGTTCACTCATTAAGTACCAGGGTAGGTGGGTGTGATAGCACATGCCTGTGATCTCAGAAATCTGGTAAGCTGAGGCAGGAGGATCAAAAATTCAAGCCCACACATGCACACCAACCCTACCCCTGGGTGCACTGAGTCTGGGTGTGGTGACCAGCACCTGTAATCCTAGTGCTGAGGAAGTTGAAAATTGGAGGATCACTTCGAGTTTGAGCTGCATAGTGAGACCCAATGTGCACGCGTGCACACACGTGCACACACACATACACACACACACACACACACAAATCAAGCACAGTCTGGGCAATTTAGCAAAACACTCTCTCAGGTTTTAAAAGGGGCTCAGGATGTAGCTTAGTGCAGACCATGGTTCAACAGCCAGCACTGTAATGGGGTGGGGGCATGCAAGGAGAGGCTGTGCCCTCAAAGGGTCAGAATCTGAACAAGGAACAAGCTGAACTCAACAGCAATGTGTATTAGGGAAACACTGGAAGATTGCCAGGTTTGGTAGTGATTTAGAAAAGAAAAAAGGCTTCCCTAAAATCGGTGTTTCCAAAGTGTTCCTAGTTTGGCATCTGAGATGGTTTTGACCTCCTCACAAAAAATATGCTAAGTGTAAGGGCTACTCCTCCTCACATATACACCCCACCTCCACCCAGGACACTTTTAGAAAAGAGTTGGTTTGGAAGCTTCTGCTCTGGAAATGTTTCCATCTAAAGGTATGTATGGTGGTGTGTCCATCCTTTGGAAGTCTTGGACCCTAAAGAAATCTCCTCAAAAACCACGGCTCCAGAAGACACAGTAGTTCTAATCCAGCAAAACTCCCAAGGCTCTTTGTGATGTAAACCTTATTAACTTCCTTCTTCCTTTGTGTCCCACCTTGGCTTACTAACAAACCCAGCTCAAGAAAATCAAAATGTTTCAAATTTATATCTTTCCTAAAGCTACTTTGTACAAGGTCTGCACCACCTCTTTAATCCCAAAAAAGACTTGATAATTTTTCAAAACTAGGTTTAATACAACGGATAAGTGACCAGTAACTTTGTGAACAAAAATGGGTGCAACAATGACGCCCTTCTGTGAAAAGTCTGGTAGTGTTCATTGCAAGAAATGAAAGATGGGTTGTACACTCCCAAGTTTCCTCCACTTCTTGCGCACTGGCAGAATTAGCAGGTGTCGAAATTAAGGAAGATAGGACGTGGTGTACCTGAGATGACTCCATAACAACGAGAGGGAGAGGGAGAGGGAGAGGGAGAGGGAGAGA